GCACCTGCAGTCAGAAATGAAGCATTTGGTTCAGTGGAAACTCTCTGCAGATGAAACAAATGGAAGGGAAGCAGCCCTGCCGGAATATCTCTATACTAAGTTTGTGTAGCGGACCTCGGGTTGGCCTGTGAGACCAGCCCTTGGCCTGTTCTCACAGGCCTGTGTTGTATTCGGGGTAGGCCAGYCCAGGCCGGTACCTCTGTCGGTACCAGCCAGTCCAGTCCAGTCCCGTCAGTCCGCTGGGGTATACCCCAGCCATTGTCTGTTTTCAGTCTCATTCTTCACTTGCACATTTTGGAATACGTGCGTTGGAGTCTTGCGTTGGGAGCTGCGTTGTGCCATCCCGCTCCCCCTTTTTCCTCCATCTCCATCTTTGTCACTAACGGAGCACCACACCTAGTGGGTCCGCTACATTGGTATCGGAGCGGGAACGGTCCCCGCCCCCACCCACCACACCGCACAGCAGGGAAATACGGCAAAACCCGACAGTCGGGTTTTTGGCTGTTTTCCGGCCGTTTTTGGGCGAAAAAAGCGGGAAAAAATGACGAAGAAAGGTGCCGCAGCAGGAGAGCTCCACGTGGCGGAAAAGGAAGCCGCGTCAAGGCTGCCGCACGCGCGCGCGTGCCTCGCGCCCACGCTGCCCCGCTGCCCCGCCCCGCCCCGCCCCGCTCCCGGATTTTATATTATCAAGATCCGGGATGCAACTGCTGCCACTGGGGTCTGGACCCAGACACCTGCCGAGCCATGCGCGTGCGTAAGCAGCCTCATAACACACTCGCCACAGTGTGTCCATGGCTCTGTAACACGGCACACTCGTGTTGAAGAGGTGCCGTGCTGGCTATTTACCCCCCCCCCCGGCAGCGAGCAGTGAGCAGCAGCGAAGTTGCTATTTACCCCCCGCGGCTGCTGCTGCCTGTGCACGTGGCCACCTCCACGGCCACATGGCAGCCTGTGGTGGGACTGAAGACCCCCCTGCTTAGGGGGCTGCTCTACAGTGGAGAGGGCCTGCTCACACAGCAGACCCTACATCTGGACATCTGCAGAAGTGCTGCTGGGGGCTGATCAAGATCTCAGCCCCCCCCTCTCTCCTCCAACTGGCTGCTGCAGCAAAGACCAAGACCCTCCTGGTCTTGGTGTACCTTGTGCCCTTGGAGACACCAAGGGCCAGGTATCATTCCCTTCTCCCCTCTCCCTCTACTAACCTACTTTCCTCTTACTCACCCCTTCTCTTTCCCCCACCTTCCACTTCATCTTTTCTCTCCTCCTTTCATCTTCCCCACCCCACCTTTCTCCCACCACCCATTCTTTTACTCTATTTTCTTCATCTCTTCTTTTCTTTCCTTCTTTCTCCTTCTTTCTTGATCCCTGTCCACCTTTCCCCATCCCTCCTCTCCCCCAGTACCTCCCTCTTTATCTTTTTCTCTCCCCCCACCTATTTCTTAATTTTCTCTTTCACTTTTTCATTCCCCTTCCCCCCTACTTCGAATTTTTTTCTGTTTTTCTTCTTTCCACCTCTCTTTTGATTTATCTTTTCTCTTTTCCAAAAATCCGAAATCTCTTCTTTCCCACCCTCTTTTCTGATTTTCTGATTCATTTCATTTATTTTTCTATTTATCCTGGAAATTCGATTTTCTCTACGGCAACCCTAAATCTGATTAGTTGTTAGCTTTCTCATCTTCTTCCCCGCCCTCTTTTCTTATTTTTTGATTTATTTTATTTATTTTTATTTATTCTGAAAATTCGAATTTCTTGGCGGCAACCCTAAATCTGATTAGGTGTTAGCCTTTCTTGCTTTCGGCACACGTTTTGGCCCCGTGGGGGTAACGAAGTGCTGCCGAAATTTTCTGATTTTCTCTTACTTAGTCTTTTATGAGGGTAACGAAATGCTGCCAAAATTTTTGAAAAATCAGATAACCCATTTCTCCCCACCTCCTCACACATTTATTTATTTATTTATTATTTCTTGATTTATTTCCTGAAATTTCTTTTTATTATTTGCGGCATCTCTAGTGTGCTCACCTTGGTCTCTCCTTTTCCCTTGGCACATTCTTGACCCCGTGGGGGGTAGGGAAATGCTGCCGAATTTAAAATTAAAAAAAAAAAAAAAAAAAAAAATTGTTTCTGTTCACATTTTTTACTTATTTTTTAAATTATTTTTATTATTTAATTATTTCCTTATTTATTTTTATTTTCTCTCGAAATTTCGCTGTTTATTTATTTTCCTCCCCCCTTCCCCACAATGCTTGCTATTTTACTTTCTTGATTAGGTCACCGGTACCCTACCCTAACCACTTAAACTTCGGTTAGGGTTTTCTTAGGGTTTTTGTAGGGTTTAGGGTTCTTCACCCCCCCCCCTACTTCCCCGTCCTCTTCGGGCACCCTGGACCCGAACCACCCTTCCCCCTTTGACGGCGCCCGGGCTAGCCTTGCTAGCGCCGGTCGCCGCTTCCTACCGCGGACTTCCCCCTACGCCCTCCGCTCACGCGGACCTCTTCTGACCCCCCCCAGTCCGGTCCGTCATCTCCCCATGGCCGACGGTGTATCACACGCCGCCGACACGACGATGACCACGGCATCGGGCTCCACACCCGTGCCGGCGGACCAGGGCCATCAGCCCCAGGGGGATCTGCACACCCTCCTCACCTCTCTCCTTGCGCCCATCCAGGCGCAACTCGCGACCCTCGGACCCTTACAAGCGCAGGTGGCGACCCTTGCCGCCGGCGTGCAGCAACTTCAGGACGCTGGTCGTCCTTCCTCTCCTCATCCTCTCTCTTMTCCTGGCTCTCAGTCCGGGTCCCCAGTTCTCCGACAGGGTGGCCACGGCGGAGTTTTCTCCTCTGCCGCCCCCGACCCGGCCATTTTGGTGACCGTCCACGCCCCTAGCTCGACGACCGCCACGAGTCAGGCCCTTCCTCAGTCTACGGGCGCACCGGCCCAGATTCCGATAACGACGGCCACGGGACCACAACCCGTTACCATGGTCTCAGCGTTTCCGGATGCCCCGCTCCTCCCCCCCCTTCGCACGACCGCAGCGCCACCTGGCTCTCCCCCCTCTGGGATGCCCCGCGCCACTTGTGCATCCACTTCCTCCACTCTTCCCCCTGCTAAAACCTACTTTCGAGGTCTCGAGGACGAGATTGCCCAGCCCCGGGCCAACCTCGCCCTCTTGCGCCTTCAGCCACCCCCACCCTCCCAGGTGGCCGCACCTTCCGGCGCACCCCCTTCTTCCTTTATTCGTCCTTCCATGCAGGCTCGCTTCCCTCGCCCTGCACCCTACCAATCTCCATCCTACCTCCTCCCCATCCCCTCGGTTGCTGCGACCTCTTCTACCGCAGCTCCCGTGCAGCCTGGCGCTGCTTCCCCCGCCTCTCCACCATGCGGCCCGGGCGTACAGTCAGCTGCGCCTCCTCCTCCAGGACCTGTGCCGACTTGTTCCGCTGTAGCGCAGTCCCCTGCTTCCCGTTCCCCTCGCCGCCAAAACGGTGGCGCACCACTCATCCGCTTATCGGACATTCCCTTGCATGACGGTACAGGCATACGCGTGTCTAGGTGGCTGCAGTCTGCCACCCGCACGCTCCAGCTCATCGGCGCCACACCCGACACGTGGGTGGGTCACCTCTCCACGCGCCTGCGTGGTGCTCCTTTCGACGCCTGGGAGGATTTCTATGCTTACTCCCTGCGTGAGGGTCGGATTCCGACCTTCATGGATTTCCAGGCGTTCCTCGAGGATCGCTTCGGAACCCGATATGACGTGACTGACGCCTTCGAGCGTGTCGTCACTACACGCTGGTCCGGCTCTGGTGGTGCTGCCGGCCTGGATCGCCACATCCAGGTCTTTCAAGACGCCCGCCTCGTTTGCGACGTGGCGTTCCTCCCCGAGGCTGCCCTTATCGATCGTTTCCTGGCTACCCTTCCACTCAAGTACTGCTCCGAGCTATGGCGATACGAGTTCACATCGGCCCCACAGGCTTACGAGGCCGCAAGGGACCATCAGCGGATGCGAGCCCGTCTTCACCCCGCCTCCTCCTCCCAGCCCCAGAGCACGGGCTACGCCTCCTCCTCCTCTCACGGCACTTCCCAGCGCTGTTTCCCCTTCCGCTGTCGCCCCCGCCGTTCCACGCAGCAGGGCCGCCACTTCTCGCGCCGCTTCAGCGCGCTGGAGTATGGTGAGCAGGACGTTGTTGCCCCACTGTCACCTGAGGGCGACCACAGCGACGACCTCGATCTCTGCGAGACCGTCCACTATCACTTGGAGGACTCTACCCTCCCTACAGCTGAGCGCCTTCAACTCACGCTCTCCGCCCTCTCTCGGGCACGCAGCCGCCCCGGTCACGCTGGCACGTCGCCCCCCGAGGTCCCTCAGGAGGACCTCCCTCAGGGCTTCGCCCCTCCTCGTGGTGTCCTTTCCCCTGAGGAGCGCGCGGCTATTCTAGGCCGGCGTGGGTGTTTGCGCTGCCGCTTGGACGGTCATACCTCCTCGCGGTGCCCTTACACWACCRCCCTYGACYRCCACTACGYTGACCTTTYTCRTCAGCGTCGTGCTCAGTCCCCYCCCGGCGCCTCAYGTCCCCGCGRCGCCTCCTAGCCACGGTGCAGTGTACACCTGCGCCCTCCTCAGTAGTGGGCTTCCCGACATCTCCGTCGCGGTTCGCCCCTCTCGCTACTGGAGTTGAGGTATCGCAGGACTCGACAGAGTGTACTCAGCCCTCTGTCGCAGTACCGTCTGCGCCTCCGCAGACCACCGTCTCCCTTCCTTCCCCGCCGCGACTACCGACGTGTCGAGCCATTCGCTCAGCCCGTTGCAGCGAGCAACTTGCTACTCGCGAGGACGTTGTGTCCTCTCTTCTGGACTTGAGCATGCTCCGGGCTCGTCAGGAGCGACTCACCCTCCATGTCGCTGCACTGCGTCGCCTGATCGCACCCTCCCGATCATCCCCGTACGACTCGGGACCTCCACGAGGGTGTAGTCAGCGTTGTGGGATTCCGGTTCTCAGGGCGACTTCATTCACCCACGCGTGGTGAAGGAAGCCCGCTTACCCACGACAGGGTCTCCGACTCCCATCTCCGTTACCCTAGGGGATGACAAGACCCAGCGCTTCTTCGATCAGATAGTCACCGACCTCCCCTTCTTCCTCACTCTCGAGCCGACTGATCGTTCCCCGGCGTCTCGTCGCCATCGCTCCTCTGCACATTTCGATGTGATGGAGACGGGGTACGATATCATTTTCGGCACTTCGTGGTCTCGTCGATTTCGCAGCACCGAGGCCGATTGGGCGACCAACACTCTCGTTCTCAAAACGAAGTGTGGACAGACGTATCGCGTACCTTTCATAGGTACCACGACGATACCACACCCCGATCCTCCTCCCCCGGAGCTGTCAGTGCCCACCCCATCCCCCTCTATCACTGTCACCTCGCCTCGGCAATTCGCTCATTTCATTCGACAGGACGACGTCACCTTCTTTATGGTGGACGTGACGGATCTCTTACACTATGATCCACCCTGTCCCGACGCCGAGCTCATCCCTCTGGAGCCAGATCCTCCCTCTATCTCCATGGCTCCCATCTCTACTTCCATCCCTCCACCGTCCGTCGAGTCCACCCCGCCGTCGGGCGCTGACGCTGACGCTAAGGAACTTGCACGATATACGGCTGACCTGGAGCCCGCAGTTCGTGACCACATCCGAGAGTACCACGACGTTTTTCCATCGCCGTTCTCGTACGCCGGCATCCTACCGATGCATGACGTCGAGCACTCCATTCAGCTTGTGCCTGACTATCGTGTTCACCACCAGGCACCCTACAGACTCTCGATTCCCGAGGCCACCGAACTCAAGTGTCAGCTTGAGGAGCTCCTGAGACTGGGTTTCATTAAACCCAACAACTCCCCGTGGGGTGCACCCGTCCTCTTTGCTCGCAAAGCGGATGGAACTCTCCGTCTCTGCATCGACTATCGCGGCCTCAACCGCTACACAGTTAAGAACAGCTACCCCATGCCTCGTTCCGATGAGTTGTTCGACCGCCTAGCAGGCAACCACTTCTTTACGAAGATTGATCTTCATAGAGGTTACCATCAGATCCGCGTCGCTGCAGCCGACCAACCGAAGACAGCGTTACGATCGCGCTTCGGCCACTACGAGTTTACGGTGATGCCATTCGGCCTCACCAATGCACCCGCCACCTTCCAGAGGGCGATGAACGACATCTTCAGGGACATCCTGGAGCAGTACGTTCTCGTCTACCTCGACGATATCCTGGTCTACAGTCGTACCCTTGAGGAGCACCTCAGACACCTCCGCGACGTCCTTGACCGCTTGCGCAGACATGGCTTTTACGCCAAGCTTAGCAAGTGCCGCTTTGCCCAGCACAAAGTGGATTTCTTAGGACACTACGTGTCTGACCAAGGTCTCCACATGCACGACGCGAAGATCACTGCTATTGCAGAGTGGTCCGCCCCCACATCCGCCAAGCAGCTTCGCAACTTCCTAGGCTTGACCAGCTACTTTAGTAACTTCATCCGGGGATACGCTAGGTATTCCTACGTCCTTACCTCCACCCTCCTCCGGAAGAACCTACCCTGGGCTTGGACACCCCTCCACGAGGACGCCTTCCGCGCCCTCAAGAAGGCGGTGACATGTGCACCGGTTCTTCACCTACCCGATTTTGACCGCCCTTTTATCCTTACCACCGATGCGTCAGACTTTGTTGTAGGAGCAGTGCTTTCTCAGGTCTTCCCCTCCTCTCCTGATTCCTCTCATCGGGTCACAGATGCTCTATCCCGGTGCCCTGACCACGACCAGGAGCACATCCAGCTCTCTTCCATCTCGGTCACCACCGTCCACCACTCGGTGATCGACGAGTTTCGCACTCAGTACCGCCACTGCCCCGACTATCACGACATCCACGCGACCCTTCGGAGTGGCAAGACCGTCTCGAACTACTCTCTTGAGGACAACGGTTTGTGTACTTGCACGGTTCACAGGGCACCAGAGAGCCCCGTATTTGCGTTCCCTCCACTGGACAGCTACGTGTCCGAGCAGTAGCAGAGTTCCATGACCAGGCAGCGACCGGTCATATGGGTTTCCACAAGACGTTGGCTCGTGTGAGCCGCATATACGTCTGGCCGAAGCGCAAGGACTTTGTGAAGGACTACGTCGCCGAGTGTCCCACCTGTCAGGAGGTGAACAGTGCGAACCACCTACCTTATGGTTTGCTCCAGCCCCTTCCTATCCCTCAGGGTCGTTGGCAGTCCATCTCGATGGACTTTCTCGGTCCTCTTCGACCTCCGACCCCCCACGGTCATGATGCTATCCTGTTCGTCGTCGACCGCTTCACGAAGTGTGCACGCTTTGTTCCGTGCCGCTATGCCATCAGTGCTCGTGAGGTTGCCGACATCGTATTTGACCGAGTCGTGCGTGACCACGGCTTACCTCTGAGCATCATATCTGACCGTGACCCGCGCTTTACCAGCCGATTCTGGCGACGGCTCCACGAGGTGTACGGCACTCAGCTCCGCTTCTCCTCGTCTTACCATCCTCAGACTGATGGTTAGACCGAGATCACAAACAGGACTCTCGGGGATATTCTCCGAAAGTTTGTTCGTGACGACCAGCAGTGAGATCTTCATTTTGCCCACGCGGAGATAGCCTACAACCACGCCGTCTCGCAAGCCACGGGGATGTCACCTTACTATTGCGACCTCGGCTACCACCCTCGTATTCCCGCGGACTTCCTCCGACCATCACAGATGCACCCCGACACGAGTTGTCCCGCGCTGGATGATTGGGTTGCACACATGACATCAATCATGAAGACCGCACAGGAGCACATAGCCACTTCCCAGACTCGCATGACAGCACGTGCGAACCGATCGAGGATGGATCATCCATTCAAAGTCGGTGATGACGTGCTTATCGACGCCCGCCACTTACAACTCGAAGCGGACACGCTTCGCAAGTTTCGACATTGCTTCTTTGGCCCATGCCGCATCCTCCAGGCCATCGGTTCTGATACGGCTTCTAGCCCTGTCAGCTTCCGTGTGAAGCTGCCCGACTACCTACGCCAGGCTCGTGTGCGCGATGTCTACCACGTCTCGTTACTGCGTCCTTACCGCAGACCGTCTGAGCGTTTCGCCGGACGACCATACGAGCGCCCTCCACCCATCATGGTGGACGGTCACGAGGAGTTCCTCGTTTCAGACATCATTGGTCGCCGAGTCACCGACGACAACCCTCCCCACGTCGAGTATCTCGTACGTTGGAAGGGTTACCCT